TATGTAAAGTAAAACAGTTGTCTTTTTTTAAAGAGAGGGCAAAAAATTGGAACAGATCTTAAGAGTTTACTGGGAGAAGAACTTAACGCTTTGAAATATCAACCTTGTTGAAATGGTTGTCTGGTATCCTTGTTGTGTGTTATAAGATTGGCAACGTGTGTAGCCAGATTTCATGACATACCAGTAACTTATCAACTCACTGTCGGATTTAATAACACACCAGTAATTTAGCAACCCACTGTTAGATTTCATTAAAAAACATGATAATTTAAATTATACTTTTAGATTTCATTATGCATCAGTAATCTACCAGTCTTCTGCCAGATATCATAAAATGCGTAATTTAACAATCCGCTGTCAGATTTCTTGACACACCAGTAAGTCGTAACGTTTCTTCAAACTTAAACTGTCTATAGGTATAAGTACTATACATTATAAAGAAACTTATAGCATTTATTGGAATTGCCAATATATGGGGTATTGACGTAAAATAAATTCACCCTGTTTCTTTTATTTAATATACATCTGTGGAGTGACTTCAAAATTTTACTTTCATTGACAAATTAAGCATCAAAGCATATGAAAAGGAATTGTTAATTATAATATCGTCATTATTTGTAATTTTCACTGAACAGTTTTCTTTGTGTAAATCAAAGCTTTTCAGGAAAGAAAATATAGACAAGCAAAAAAAATAAGTATTCAGATTTCGCGGCTAGTAGTTTAAAAGTACGCTGTTACATTTCATAACAAAGTGGTAATTTAAACTGTACATTTATATTTCATGGCATACCTGTAATTTAATAACCCACTCACTCGGAAACAAAAATATAAGTATTTCAGTCGACATAATTTGTCGATGTTGGTGCTAATCAGTACTTTTTATTGATAGCTTTTGTTTGTTAAGCACAAAGCTACACAATGGGCTATCTGTGCTCTGCTCACCACGGGTATCGAAATCCCTCATACTTGCTGATCAGATACCTGGTGGCTTATTTATAGCAAATGGCATCCTTTACACATTTTTCTTTATACGAGCTCCTACTCATTTCGACCTCCCTGACCACGTGCGTTCGTTTTGTAAGCTCGTAAAAATTGCCAAAATTGTGAGAGATCCTTTACAGTTCCAAAATCATAAAGGTTCTTTTAAAATACAGTTTTATTTAACAGCTTCACGAAAACATGCCATTGATTAATAAGATCTATTGTTCATGATATGTATATGCAAGCTCATATGTAATCTTAAATGTTCCGTTTCCACAACACCAGTCTTATAACCTAGCACACAATTAGATATGTATAAAATGTTTTAGAATCTTAGTTTGTTGAGAGCAAAGCCACATTGGACTATCTGCTATGTCCACCACTGGGAATCGAACCCCAGATTTTAGTGTTGTAAGCACATATGCGTGGCTGTGTATGTGTGACCATATAGCTCCAAGAGAAAAGAACATAGAAACCTAAAATTTTACACCCATACTAAGTGGATCCTGAGGGTTTGCACCCGTGTATTATTACTTTTCAACATATGTGCGTGTGTGTGCATCTTTTTGTGCGAAAAACCACATAGAAAAGAAATGTGACCTCCATAGTTCGAAAAGGAAAGAACCTAGAAACCTAAAATTCTGTACCCATACTAAGTGGATCCTGGGAGTCTGCACCTGGGTAGTATTAATTATCTATCCACGTACGTCTTTTTAATGAGGGAAGCTAGTGAAAAACCACATAGAACTGAAGTGGTTCCTTATATAACAACTTCTAATATATAGACAAGCCAGTGCGTTTTGGTAACAGTGCGTACCAACAATGGCTTTTATGTCATGTTGCTTAGAAACAAGTGTAGAACTTTATATTGTTGTTATTCTATGTTCTAAAAGTATAAAATGAAATGTTTAAACTACAGAACTGAAAAATATTTGTTGATTTCTTAATTTAGATTCTCTGGTGATTAAATTTAGAAATGATTTAATTTTAGAATGGATCAATATTTTTACTTGCATGATAAATTTTATGCACTTGGCTCTAGATTAGGTTATCTCACACTATGTCTTTACTTTAGGCTTATTTATTAATTTATTTAAATCATACCAACATTTACAACACTTACAAGGTTTCATAGCAATCCATTCACGACCTCCTTTCACTAAAGTCGTAATGGGTAGACGGTAAACGAACTATTCTATCTGGATAAATGCATTTTGACTTTTGTTATTATTATGACTCTTCTTATCTCGAGAAATCAAGAGAAATCCAGCGTGACCTGACGTAACACCCACTGACCTTTATATAGAAAAAACCTAGAAACCTGAGAGTTTGCATACATACTAAGTGGACTCTGGTGGTGTGCACCTGGTTATTATTACTTATCCACGTGCATGCGCACGTGCGCATCTTTTTAATGAGGCAAGCTAGCGAAAAATCACAAAGCAAAAAAAAGGGTTCCTTATATTCCTCTTGGAGTTATGGTGGTCACACACATACACACAAAGACACGCCCTTTTATTATTATAGATATATATTCATTTATCGTTTACTTTACTTGGAGATACAAATAATACCTGTATAAGTTACAAATATTTTCAAGGAATTTTCCAAATTTGAAATTTTATTTTAAGTCATTTCGACTTTTTTTGTGACTTGTCCAAGAATCTGTTCTCTAAACGTAACATTGTACTTTAATGTTAATAAGAGAAGATTGATATCGGGCGTATACGTGGAACCTTTGATCTTGTTTATCCATTTAACAAATAATTATCATCTCAGTTTTAACACCAGGTTCACTTCTCTTAGAAACTTCATAAAATGGCTATTAATTCACTCAACCTAGTATTAATTCGAAAAACTTTACACAAACGTATCATTTTCGATTCACACATATTTTGCTAGGAAATGTGACCTTCCAATTATTACTTGCAGTTCAACCTTCACCCTACTTGCTATAACAAATCTGCTGGCTTCAATTGTGCTCTTACTTTCTTGTGATGGTGGTATCAATATATATATTGATATCAAATAGCATTCGC